GATAACGATTTACTGATGTAAGTACTACTATTTAACCCATAACTGGAAGGAGATAAGATGGGTTCATACCTTTTCCAAATGCATGTAAAGAAATATAACGAGACTGACCAGAATTGGAACTGCTCTACAATTATCCATTACATTACAGCCATTATCCATTACATCACATGCACTTGCAAGCTTACAGCATCTGGTATTCCCAAGTAGTCACCCATCTAAGTACAGGCTCAATATTGCTTAACTTCAGTGATTCGACAAGAATCAATATTTCAACATGATATGACTATAAGCCAGCATAGGTCTGCTCAGCATAGTTGCAGAGCAGATAACTGTAATAGTGTTTGGCAGACAGATGTGCTCAGAAATAAATAGTAGTTGGTCATTATTATCATTATTAAATGTAAAATAATTGTACTAATTCACTCCCGTCATTAGTTTGAAATACCTCATAAATAATAGATTATTCCATTTTGATTGTATGGAAAGAGGAGAAAAGACACTACTTGGTTTCAGTGAGAAAATAAAAGAAAAAGCAAGATAGAAGTGGAAAGAGAAAATCTGATTAAGCTGATAAAAACAGATACTACAGTTTCATATTAGCCAAAAGGCTGAGAAGCGATTGTATTTTCTTGTCATATCATCCTGGCAGGATGTGATATAAGGTCAGTTTAATGTGGGGAAACAAAGCACGTGTACCCAAGCCAGGTCCAAAAATAGCCCAGCAACAATGTTGCACTGGCATCAATATTACTATCAATCCTCCCTCTTTAGTTCAATGAGGGAGGTACTGCTGCAGGCTGCTGTTTCCCAAGACTGGGCACCTCTCAATAATATTTTCAGTTGTGCTCTGTCTGCAGAGACACAACTGAGTTGCACTCTGTCCAAAGATAAAAACAACTGAGAGATGAAATGTAATCTATCTAACCAAAGGGAGATACTACACTTTGATCCCACTCAAAATGCTGAGAAGTGGTCATGACTACAATAATGGTGACGTTTTTCAAACACACAGTATTAAATGATGGAAAAATAGCAGTCGCAAAAAATGCAGCTACCATAAATAAAATATCGTCTGCTGAATTACTTTAAAATTAATATCAAGAGAAATGTTTGTAAGATGTGGATTTGGCTAGTAAGCTATTAATGCCTGTGCTCACTGTATTGACCCAGTGTTAGCATAAAATTAAGATTAACATGGAGTAAAAGTTGTCTTAAAAGAATAAATGTTGTAGTAAATAGTAATGCAAAAATGGAGAAAAACTACTACACTTTCATCCCAGTTAAAAAAGGCCAGAAGGAATGGCAACCATGATAAAAATGCCATTTTTCAGATACACAGTATAAAACAACAAAAACCAAGTAAGGCAATCACCAAAAAACAAGTTATCATAAATGTAACAACATAGTCTGCTGAATTATTTTTAGATTATTGTTAAGAAAAATGTTCTTAATACAGGGATTTGGCTAGTCATTATTAAATGTAATATGTAAAGAATTTTTAAAGCTAAAATTTGTAAATTCTTAGTTTAAAATAATTAGCATAGCTTTGTATCTTGCAATAGTGAAGACTTATGTTTTTAAAGATCACTGATATATGTATGTATGTAATATTACTGTTAGTATACTTAAACGAGACAACACAGTTTTGTCTACAAAAGGATAATCTCAAAAACAAAGTTTGCAAAGTTGTACTATCACTGATAATTTCTATCTGAATTTCTGGGATGAGGAGTTAACACTATTTACATTATTATGAGCAGACTATCAATCTCATCTTTGTTGTTATTATCCTCAATGTTTCAGCTGTTGTGCCCTCCAAACTTTGTCAGATGCTTGTTGATCCAGGTAACCTTCAGGGAATTTTGAACTTAACCCTTTATTTAATCTATGGATACAAATTATTCTCATCCTGTTGAACATATCTAGGGATATCTCACCTATTTCTTATTTAGCACCGCTGAGTTATTGCTTCCTCGATTTCTACTGAGACCAAGTACACACTGCCTGACTCGGAGATTAAATTCACAAAATTCATAAATCACCACTTTAATCCACCATGCTAGTGGATTAGTTGTAATGCCAGATTTACAGATGGGCTAGTATGGGATGCAGCCCAAAGGCCTCAAGACTAGATTATTCATTACACCACCATGACATTCAAGCTTACAGCACCTAGTATTCCCAAGTGGTCACTCATCTAGATACTGTATAGGTTCAATGTTGCTTAACTTCAGTGATTAGACAAGAAATGGTGTTTCAATGTGACATAGCTGAAAGCCTGAGTTATCACTAATTTTACTTCAGGAGAGCTGATCTAGTCACCAATCAAATACTTTCAGGTGAAGTATTCAAAATAAGAAAAACACCTGTGATATATATTTTTTATAATTTTACTTATATAGCACTAATAACAAAATAAAAGTTTATACAAAGGTAAGTCAAAAATTATCCACACTTTCACCATAAGATATATTTAGACAAGACTACAGATAATTTATTATATTCCTTCATACATATGCTTGCACATTTAACAAAAAATATTATACAAAATACAGCAGATCAAGAAATAGCAAAAATGTAAACGGTGTCAAACTCCATTTATGACAATTTTTCAACAAAAGGTGAAGAAAAAAAATGAACAAAAACAAATGGACAGATATAAAACATTTGTACTAGTCCAATAAGCATAGTGAAATGCAAAGCAGTGTTCTGAATAGATAAAAAAATATAAATCATCAAGGCTGCAAAATTAAATTTGATGATCCATTTGTCAGTGCATATGAACTTACCAGTTTCTCCATAAGTGTCCTCAGCAAATTCTATTGGTTGAAAATGAATTAGCAAAAAAAAAAGTTAGCATTTCTGCTGTAGTGTTTCTTGCAAGAAATAAAACTTGTAATAACAAAGATATAGAAATTTTAAAATAAATTTTAAACTAAATTCTAAACTATGTATAATATTTATCCCACTTGGGGATTTTAGATTTTAAAGGTATCAATCTTGTCACTAAATGTCTTCCCCCTCTTTAGAAAGTGTCTTTAACAAGTAGCTTGATACTCTTCATTCTTGAGTTTTTCTACTGAACTATAGCCACATTGAACTCAGGAGTACTGTCATTTTAGTATATCTTGACATAATTGTGCAATATATTATTCATTAATAAGATAATTTGTTTTTACTCATTTCACCCCAAACAATGCAATAAAACCACTAAGATGCAAAAGTTTACAGAGTGTGAAAGAATATGTGAAAAAGAAAACATTATTAAGGAGAGAGAACAATAAAAGAACAGGAATTGTGACAGAAGATAATGATTGACATTGCATTTAAATTTTTGAAGATCAAAGTTGACTAGAAAACATGGAGCCTGAAGAGATTTCCACAAGTGAGAAGTGCAAGAGAAGAAACTGTTAACATAGCATTGCAACCTATTCATTTCAACTGTAAAATGACGAGACCTTGCTGCCAATCTAGTATTTCACTTAAATTCATTAAATCTAGTTACCAAGCTTATCATGAAAATATTTTTAGAAATGAAACAGAAGCTACATTATAGCAATGGAAAAATGACTGAAGCTAAGATGTCAGGAGCAATAACATTTCAGGTTCCTCTTTGTATTTTATCAAGAATCTCTAAATACATAGCAGAAGCACCAGCCCAGTTGTGGCAGCAATTTTCAATACATGGATGAATAGTAGACTTTGCTATTAAAAATGTGTAGAAATGAATCAGCCAAGTGGGGAAAGAGACCCCAACTTGAATTCATCTGGGGTAATGGGAACAATCAGTCTTTCTCCTTGAAGTGTTTGTTGGTAGTTACTAGCTTCTCCAACAAAAATTGTCTTCTTTCATAACTGACTGAAGAGTGTAATGATACAATGCAGGTGGTGCTGTTGCATAGAGATTGTGGTACTGATTTGCATGGAAACAGTAATGCTTGGTCACTGGCCAATCACATTTGATCTGTGATTGGGACCCAAGCAGACAGGCATTTTTTTGAGTGAAAGGCATTTTCTCCCAGCGCTTGGCTGCTATTACCATTTGTGGATTTATTTTCTTCTGTTCTTTGCTTACAAAATATAAACTTATTTTCTCATTCTGGATGGGACTTAAAATTAGTGCACATGTGGGCAAATCATAACCAATGCAATATTGTATTTAATTAACCAGTTGTATTGGAGGATGAATTTATAACTAAAGCTTCTTAAATTATTTACTTTAAACTGACATCATAGCTCACTAAAAATGCTTCACAAGAAACAAAACTAACTCATAGCTGACTCATCTAGATAAATTGAAATTATCAAAAATCTGTAGCTGAAATGAAGATACCAGCAGATATAAAATCTACTCAAGTTATTTATTCGTTAAACACTTTTGCAATTTACATAGAGAGCTAGTGTAATATAAAAAGTTTGTGGAAAAACCTGTGATCTTCTGTTTAGTGATTAAAAAACACATTTCACTTTTCTATAGTTGATAGCACTTAAGAGACTTTCCTCATTTTAAATTGTCAATTTGTGGCACTCTACCCCAACATGCCTTTAAGTGCTGCACACTTCAAAGGCAGAGGTAAAAGCTCTGCAAGTGTTTCCTGAGTATGAAGTTTCAATACTCTAACAACTGCAGTATACTGATTACTCTATATGGTTCATAGTCAAAGCCATGTAATTATGATATGTACTTAAGTCATAGAGACTAGTTTGCATGCATTTATTCAAATACATATATCACTGACATACCCTTTGAACAGACTTATCTCTGTCCATGAAGATTGCTGAATATATTACACAAGGCTTTCATATCACATATCTACTGCAATTAATTAGATACCTGTAAAATCTTCAATACCAAGTGGCATAAAAAAATATTTTTTAGAAATATATATGATATATAATTGTTTGACAAGTAACAATTGAATTAAATATTACTAATTTTATTTTAAATAAAAAAAATAAGTCTTTATATAATATAGATGTTTCCAGATTTTCCAGCTTACCTTCAACAATTAATCTTGCAGTGGTAGATACATTTCCAACTTTGCATGTGTACACGCCACTATCAGAAGATGTGACCTTGTGAATTATAAGTTTCTGAGTCCTCTTTTCAGAAATCATTTCAATCCTGTTGTCTGCTTTCAGTATAGCACCATCCTTCAGCCAAGTGGCCGTTGTACTTTCTTCGACCATTTCACATATAAGAGTGGCAGTTCCATTAGGTTCCACTTTGATTTCTTCCTTGAGTTTTTGAGAGAAAACAGCTTTTGCATCTGCAAGAAATAAGAGTAAAGATATTTTCTGATACTATGGACACCCACAGAGAAAAAGAATGTGATTTTATCTCAGTCTAAAGTGTTACTGTTTAATAGCCAGCAGGTGATCCTTTTTGAAGTTTAGTTTTCTAAGAAGCATCCACTATGACTGAAGAGGAATGGAAAGTAAAAAATGAGAACTTTTTTTAGAGATCAAGCAGAAACAAAACTGGAAATAGCATATATCCAGGTACTAGTTTATATTAGCAGTCATGCTTGGGATCAAGGCAGAGTTCTGGTCTGCCCTTGGTAGGAGACAAACTTGTCCATTGCATGAATCACATGACATCCATTTGTATTGGCAGTCATACATCAGTATGTGCAGATGGGTGAAGAGCAACATAGAAATTTCCCAAGCATCACCTACCAAGGCAAAACATCTACATATAATATAGGAAACAGGGTCTTAATTCTTGAGGTGACACTTGTCTTTCATCATATTACTCTGTGAGCAAGAAGCATATTCTTTTCAAGCTTTTATTGCACACCAATGAGATTGAGAATTAAAATGCAATGTGGGATAATCATTGGCCAGTTGTTGGAAAGCTTGAGCATTGTATGTTTACAATATAAGCATATAATTAAACAACTTGTTCTGATACAATTAAAAACAGCTGGATCCAGGTATGCAAAAGTATCATTTGTTTATTAATACAGGATAATAATCAAATAGGAATTAACAAAACAAATTCTATTAAAACAATGCTGTCTTTTCACTTTTGGCAAATGTTTGAACTAGAAGAAAGGTTTATTTTTCTTCAATCTGCAGTGATCAAATACTCAATCTTCATTGAGTTTTGCAAAAATCTTACTTATACTTTTGTCTATTTTAAACAATTTGTAATTTTCTCCATTAATAATAATAATAAAAAAACTAACATTTATTCACCTTTACATTTATCCAAAGAATATTAGGGTGGATCAATAAATATGTAGCCTGATAGTTATTAGCTGAATTTTGATGTGATTAACTATTTAAGGCTAGAGGCATTGTCTGAGAAACTTTTGGGCATAGCACAAGTTTCACACACAATCTGTGAACACCTGAACATACCCCCAATTGGGTAGTATTATATTTCAATACATTAACATCCATCACATTATAAACTAGAGGTACCAGAAATCTACAACTTCTACAAAGAAACACACTGTTGGCATAAAACAAATGGGGAACTAAATCAACCAATTGTTTCTTCTACTTTTATATGAAAAAAAAAAAGGAGTAGAGGTTTATCCCTGGTTTCTTGTTTAGGATTGGGTTTCTGGTTCTTTCTAAAGTCTATTTCAACTCTATACTTTAACATCTCTACCTAAACTCTGAAATTTTATTCACTAATTAAATCTTAACCTCTTCAAGCTGTTATCTTTCCTGCATAGATCCAAGAATTTCATCTCTTGCTCTTTCTTATGCAAATACAACTCCACACAGTAATCCTCTAGCTTGAGTGGCTCTCGGGCCTTGTATTGGATGAATATTAGTAGAAAAAAATCTTTTGTCTCATAATTTTATATGAAAAAGCATTATCTGTTCACAAACCTCAGGGTCACCATCAGCAACAATCTGTCCCTAGACGCCAAGATCAACAAAAGCATTGCCGCAAGAACTCAAGGCCTTGTCTTGGAGAACCCAAAACTGACAACACCTACAAAGAAGGCTGTTTACAATGCCTGCATCATCAGCACTCTGTTGGCAGTGAAACATGGACAACATACACCAAACAAGTGCAAGAACAGAATGGTTTCTACATATGCTGTCTTCTTTGCCTCCTCAGCATCAGGTGGATCAAGAAAGTACTAAACGCCTAGGTCTTTGCACACACTTGCCTCTTCAACTTGTATATGCTACAGAGATCATGCATGTTGCACTGGTATGACCATGTGAACTAGATGGAAGATGGCTATATCACAAAGGACAAAGTTCTCTGGCAAGAGATCTGCTGGCCATTACCAGAATCACTACAAAGATGTCTGCAAGCACAACATGAACGCTCTAGACATTAACACTGAGAACTGGGAAGATGCAGTGGATGACCACAGTAGATGGTGCAAGGTCCTCTAAAAATAGTACAGTCTAGGGGAAGAGAAGATCCAGATCTTAGTTGAGGAAAAGAAAGCACATTGGAAAGCTTGCTCATGACCAACCACAGCCAATACTGTTCCAGAGCATTGATACAACTTGACACCAGGACACATCATCCATAGCTGACATTGACTGACAAAGACTTGTTATTAATATTGTTGTCACATAATTTCATATGAAAATGTATTGATCTGCAGTCTCATAATTTTATATGAGAAAGCATTTATCTGTAGTCTCTTTATTAAAAAAATAGCATCTTACAAAAATACTAAAAATTTTATTTGAATTTTTAAGATTTAAGGTTCTTCTTCTCTTTTTTACACTGATGTTCACCCTGTACAAGGCTCAAGAGCCACTCGAGGTAGAGGGTTACAGAGTAAGAGGCCTTACCCCAAGCAAGGAGACAACACCAACAAGACACAAGTGGCCACTGGATGCAAAAGAGAAGGAAAAGGCTTTAGAAGGAACTGGAAATCTAATCTTAAACAGGAAACAAAGGATAAACCTAATCCTGTTCAAAAAACTGGGGTTGGGTGTAAACCTCACAATAGGTGAACCTATCTACTCCTATTGTGGAAAAAAGTCAAATAAATTGTAAGCAGGAACATTAGAAGTATAAAGCTCACCAGAATATTTTCAACAGCTTAGACAGTAGTTTTAAAAGTTTATGCATAAAGTTTATTTAGAATATCTTTCAATAAATCAATTTTGACAGTAGTTAAATATATTCTAAATAAACTTTATGCATAAATGGGTTAGGATAAAACCTAGTAAATATTAAAGAAAATTATACTAAAAAGCAAAAAATTTAAATCCACAAAAATTAGATATTGCTAATATTGTATGTTAAAAAAATATCATTGACATTGGGTCAATATAAGCAAGAGATGTTTTGATTGTCAAAAGTAATTATGCATGCCAAAAAATATTTGAAGCCACATCCATTTTTAGACATACTGATGCAAATAATTAAAATGTAATAAAAAGAAAAATAAGCTTAAAAAAATAATATAACAAAGAAAAAAACACGCCATAGAATACAATTAAAAGCTGAAAAAAAGCGACAAAAGCATTTTTCATTAAAAAAAATAAAAGTCTTGGCAAACTTGGAACTGCAAAAAAAACCTGAAATGTCGCAAAAGGATGGTTAACATTAACACCATTATTATTTTAACGGTAAATTTTGGTTTTGTTTTCCGAACGCTAATATCCCTTAAACTTTTCCAAAATTGTCATAATTCCATGCAAAAGTACATGCTGAACTCGAATTAACAATTAAATTATGAAGAAACCTTCATAATTTTGGAGTTATCGACAAGAAAAAATTGGACTTCTTGTTGGTCATTCGTCCCCCATTACTGCCATCATGTTTACTAATTTACTGCATAGTACCTATGCAGGCATAATAAGAAAATTTGGCCTATTTACTTCTTTTACCGACTTTCCTTGCAGAAAATCACTACGCACTACCATAAAGAATTTTTTTTTTTTTTTGCTATTCAAAACAGAAAAAAGATTCTGTTGTATTATTTAAGTTGTTTTTGTTATAAATAAAACTACACTTACCAAAAAAAATTACCATTTTAACTACCTTCATTTCTCAGCAATGTTTATTCTTTCAAAAAGCAATGATTAAAATTGTAATAAAACCTAAACATGTGACACTAAAGTGAATTTATACATTTTCTTTGTTCTTGAGAACCACCCTTTTGACATCGTTTTTTTTTGTGGGGGGGTTGCAGACACAAAAAAGGTCAGTTTGCCGATTCCTGATTATAATTTTTCTAATCCTTTCATAAAATTAATATTTTTAGAGATTATCCCTTTTTTTTTTTCATTTTAAAACTTTTTTTGTTCGTTGTACTTAATTTCTACAATGAATCCTATAGATTTTTTTCTGCATAAAAGATTTAAAAACTAATATTTCAAGAAAAGAAAATCAAGTTTTATTATTTATTTCTAAAATTAGATAACATAGCGTAACAAATGCTTTTTTAGACAAAAATGATACAGCTCAGCTCAACATTTTCAGAGATTGAGACCAAGTGTTGTGCTTCTTACTTCTCAGTTCCAGAAAAAAGTGTGGATTCTGTGTGTCGAGTGGGCTATAATTGAATCCTTCCAATAGTGTCATGGATGTGTTGTTGCAAAGACAAACCAAAGATCGATTATATATAGAAACTGCCCAATTGCATTGACTTTGGCCATAAGCAACAAGGCATCCCTTTGTTGACGCTTCCCCAAATGCAACGGGGAAGCGGGGTCGTACTGCCAAGGAGATGACTCCTCAGGAACCAAGCTTCTATACTTTTGAATTTTTATACTTAAAACAAAAATCATTAAAAAGTAAAGTAAAACAATGACATTTCCAGTTATCAGAAATAAAATGCAAGATTTCATTTTTTTTTTAATTGAAACCAAATACCTTCGTTTATACTTTTCTAAACACAAACAAGGTACCAAAGCTGAGGTTAACCATTTTTCTTCTTTCAAAATAATTCAGTTCACGTCCGACAACATCTTGTTTTAGCGCAGCCAAGAAAAATGCAATTGATAACGCCATGTTGTTTTCATTCAGCAGACGACAAAATTATCCGAAGAATATCGTGAAACTGTCTGAAGTTTCCATACATGAGTTACGGAAAAAAATCTATACCATTTCTTCGCCAAGGTGAGCATTGTCTTTTGTGGATATAATATTGTAAAATACAGTTTCCTGATTTGCAAGCAGACGTCAAGCAAACAGACATTCAAACAGAATTAAACAGAAGGAATGACTGGTAGAAGTAGACGTTACGTTATTTCGTATTTTAACCAACTTGAAAAATTTACTTTGTAGTAGTCAGTATTGTTACAAATAAAAGATATTTATAATTTTAAGTACCTTTTTTAGTTTATATTTGTAATTTTTTCATATATAGCACTTCGTTATTAATCGTATATTTCCGTAACTTTTCACTATTATCTGAAAAAAAAGTTTCCTGGTAGTAACACGACTTTTTCCTCTAACTTTTACGTAAAATATAAGAACCTCTTGAATTTCTTAGAAAAAAATACTTAAATTAGTATAAATTCTAAAAAAATATTTTGTATTGACTAATTAATCGATATTCTGCACTTTTTAAATAAAAAATTGAAGTGCATTGTCAATAATTTGCTATTTAAGCCCCGCGCTAAAAATTTTCCAAATAGTTATATTTAGGTGTAAATTTACTTGCTTAATTCGAAAAAAAAAAGAAATTTTGGTAAAATCTACCGCTTTGGAGCTATCGACAATAAAAGTTCGAACTCAATTTCCGTCGGGCCAGTAATTACTGGCGTTGTTTGCATATATCTGGTGCGGAATAGTCTTGCTTGATTATTGTGCACGCATTAAGTCATCAGTTGCGTAGTAATTGAGTCAAGTAAAAACCGTAAAAAGGCCGTTTAACAAGGTAATCTTCCGTACAAATCTAATCAGCAGCGAATGTATGCAAACAACGCCACTAATGGCTGCCATGCTGTAACGCGAATGAGTCCAAACTTTTATTGTCGATAACTTCTAAACAGTAGATTTTATCAAAATTTATTTATTTTCGAATTAAGCATGTACATTTACATCTAAATATAACTATTCGGGAAATTTTTATTAGACACTTAGAGTGGGGCTTAAAAAGCAGATTACCCAAAGGTTAATTTTGTAGTGTAACACCCGCGCTGAGTTCGCATTAAAAATTTCCAGAATACTTACATTCGTGTCTAATTGTACATGCTCTATTCGAATCTGGCTTGATAAAAATCTACTGTTTTGGAGTTATCGACAGTAAAGTTTTGGATTCATTCGCGTCCCGGACAGCCATAACTGGCGTTGTTTGCATATATTCACTGTGGAATAGCTGTCAGTGTACTTCACTTGTTTGAATTATTGCGCGAACTGAGAACTCTTTGCGCATACTTTGCGCGTTAATTAAAAAACAAGCTACTTTGACGAATTAAAAAAAAAAATGAGAAAACGAATTAAGAAAAAATAGTTTATTTTTAGATTATCTACACACACACAAAACCAATATGGGTCCAGGGTAAATCTTCACCGCCTCAATACGGAACTTGTGAAGGCGCTGATTATGTGTAGGTATTGTAGATTGCTTTTATAAATGAAAACCGAGCAACATATGGCTTCAAAAGCAGTTTTTAGTCCCGGCCGGATAACAAAGCCCTTCATATTCTTCCACTGTTTGGGTATATCCTGGTGTATGAGGTCGACAAAATGTTCGCTGTGACGGTGTACCCATGTTCCGGTAATAATCGCATATATGCCGACCTGCAATCGCTGTATATTATCGATCCTGGTCGGATATGGCATATTATTAATGGGATAAGTGTTTTGGCATCCTGGGATTGTCCTTCCTTACAATCCGCGGTCAGTGAAACTAAGAATGACTAGAGAAAATCTCTAGATTCCACCAAATCGAGAAACTTTTCAATATTGTGAAATGTCCAAATTTTCAAACCTGATTCTGTGACGCCAGCTTCTAATCAATGAAATGATTGACAATATCACTTTCCACGCCAGCATGTGGGTTTTAAACCAAAAACGTACTTCACTCACTTTGAAGCCACATTCTGTTTTCTGACGGTTATCGCGCTTATTGCTGATAGATAGAATTTCTGCAACGCCACAATTTTCCTTGGGGACAAAACAGGCACGGTATGGCATCGAAGACATTCCACGGAGGACGGTAATACTTCGTGGAGACGCAAAATGACGTCTCTTCGTTCAAACGGAAGCCTGAATTGCTTCGTACAGATTGCTGGGACAATTTGTGCAGTTATAGACATATCTGAGCAGTAATGTAACTAAACAGTAATTAGACAGTAAAATGCAGTAATTAAGCGTGAAGCATTAAAAAAAAAAAAAAAAGCAGTAACTGAAAATAGTTCTCGTGCGCAGTAATTGAGTAAAATTTAGACAAGATCAGTTCCGCGCTTAGCTTTCCGCGGCAAATGTATGCAAACAACGCCAGTAATGGCCGCCGCCAACGACGCGAATGAATCCGAACTTTCACTGACGATAACTCCAAAACGGTAGATTTTATCGAATTTATCAAGCCAGATTCGAATGGAGCATTTAAGTTTTCTGGAAAGTTGTAATGCTAACCGAGTTCGGGCGTTATACTACAAATTAACCATTGGTACTAAGTATGGCATTTTAGAATTTATTTACTACGAAGAATTCCTGATTGTAGGAGATATAGAACAACAACATTATGGTGAAGGGAATAATGGGAAAAAAAGTGTTGTCTCGTCTCACATTTTATACGTTTAATAAAAAATTATTTCCTCAGATAAGCTCAGCTCCAACTGATAGTCGTACATATCCAGTTCTGCGGAATCCGTCTACCTGTGAAGATCACCTTTTATTCAGGTTTTTGACCACGCATGCAAATTAGCGATAGTTTTAAAACCACTAGAACCACGCATGCGCTTTACCTTAATTGCAAATGGCGGCTCCAACCGAACAAGTGAGACATCGCGGTCTCTGAACAGTGTACTTCTCCAATTAATGGACAGGAGGTATCCAACTAAGGAAATACCAATGGAGCTAAGCAATTCTTTCCCTAAACTTGGTCATTCGCCATTATAAGTATTTATCAAAAAAAATTCATACAAGTAACTTATGAGTATGATGTTTTTTTTTCTTTAAATAATGGCGAATGACTTAAAAGTTTACTTTTAAAAATATTAGAAAATTTTCTTTAACACGTTGACCACCAGGTGTCAATTACGAAATATGATTTAAAATGACAATTTTTTTTATAATAATAGCCAATTTAGGTCATTTTTTTTTTTTTTTTTAATTTAGTTTCAACTGAGGTCTTACCTTTTTTTTTTTTTTAACACTAAGTACCACATTTAATAAACTTGTTATTGGCGCCCGCGGGTGAAAATGTATCAGAAAACTTGGAAATTTTATTTAAAGAAAATTTAGTACAGTGTAACCCGGATATAAGAGAAATTTTCTCTGGTCCAAAATTAGAGCCTGTGACTTAATGTATATAAATTAGACCCAACCCGAATATAAGAGACTTCTCCGGTCGCGACAACTCTCTTAATATCCGGGTTACACTGTATATTAAAATTTGAGGATATTTCAAAAACTTTGGTAGTGAAATGTATGCATTTGAATGATACGCGTCTGGTGGCAAAGCAGACGATACTTTTTTTTTTGTTTTGCCGCTCTTTTTTGGATTTGGAAGCTGGAGAAGGCGTTTCTTTTTAATTAGAGGAAATTATCCTCAGTTTGAAAATTATTCTTAGTTGAGAAAGACATCTTGTTTTCTGGCTCCGTAGTAAACTATTTTTAGTTTACCACGTAAATAACTGTTACCTTGAATGTTCGACTTAGTGTACTGTCGAATTATTTCTTAGATATACTAACTTTATAATTGCTCTCTAATTTTATTCGGAGATAGGAAGAAGGGATTGTGAATTTTTCGTGTCGAGTGACTTTGTAAAGAGGATTTTTTATTAGCTACGGAAGAATTCCGAAGCTAAATTTGTTTGATATAGCTTAAAGAAAAGTTATATTTTTTGACTTGTAAGGCTTATTGATTGAGGCATGGACGTAAAGCTGTATTTGTTAAATAGAAAAACAAATGGTACTTTGCGGCTTCTAAATTTAGCTCGCAGAATATGTTTTTTGGCAGAGCCATTCGATGCGGAGGGTTCGGCCCTATTCTCGTTTTCAATTTAAAATTAGATTTTTAAATAAGATTAAGAACATTAGCCTAAGCGTTGTGTTTATATTTTTCCCTTTCAGCTCCAAAAAAGAGAAAAGAATTCTGAAGAACAAAAAAAGAAGATAAATGTACCCGAAGAAATTATCTCTCTTCCAATAATTGAAGACAAGATTTTTGTTACAAGTCTTTCTGTAAGAAAAAAAGGAAGGTCAAAGAAAAAAAGGTTTGAGTTGTCTGCTTAAACCTTACATTTCTTCAGATGGACAACAAATTATGTAAGTAAAAACCTTTTTGTTTCTGTTTTGTTGCCGTAATATTATCATATGGAACAATAATATGCATGAAATTATTATTTTGTGTTAAAATAAAGATTTTATAATCTGTGAATATATTTTTTGAATTTTGAGTTATATTTTCGAAGTAGATCTTAATCGGTTTATTTGCTTTTTAAGCCGCGCGCTAAATATCTATCAAAAATTTTCAAAATCGTTATATTTCCGTGTAAATTTACACGCTGAACTCGAAAATAGCAATTAAATTTTGATAAAAATTTTAAAAGCAAATTAACCATCGTATCTAAAAAAAAGATCGTCTGCTTCATTCATTTATTTTTCTTTCTTTCCAGTGAAAAAGCGCCGAGAACAAATCGGCTGTTTTGCCTTGTATTTTATCAATATATTATTTACCCCTTTTTTTTTTAAGTATATTAGATTAAGATCGTACACAAGTAAAAATTAAATTTGATTAACTTCAGTTAATTTTTTTTTCTTCAAAAATGCCAAGTACGAGAACTCGAAGTCTGTCAATAAAAACTGCCAACCACGAATTATCTTGTGGTTTGTAGTCAATGTTGAATTATTTAATAAATGCACTATTTGAAAGCTCTATTGGTCCTCCTTTATTTTGATAAAAGCGGATCGGCAACTTGGAAGGAAATGGTGCCAAATAATTGCACCCCAACCCAAAAAAACAAAATAAAAATAACTTTGTTTTCATAATTTGCTTTTTTGCAAAAATCATTGCAAAAGTTAAAGTAGGATAAAAACGCGGTCAAAATCAGATAATATTTAAAAAATTTAACTTAAATATGTAAAACTCAACTTGATTAATTCATACGTCCTTCAGGTACCTAAAAAAAAAAAAAAAAAAACCTACTTTTTCTTTTAATTATATACAGTGTAACCCGGATATAAGAAAGATTTTCTCTGGTCCCAAATTAGAGCCCATACTTACCTAAACAAAATAGACCAAACCCGGATATAAGAGACGTCTTCTCCGGTCCCGACAACTCTCTTATATCCGGGTTGCACTGTACCATCATTATGATAATAAAGTGGAATAATGTAAACATCACTTTTTAGCCCTATGAAGTCCTAAAAGGCAAAACGTCATACAAAATATTTTTTCCACTTTGTTATTGATTTTCCTATCATATATGCATCTGTGTGTGTAATATCAGCTGATAAAGATAGAAATTGCATTCAAGCAAGATATGGAATGATATTGGTTGGTAAATAATTTTGACTATCTATAAGAAGTCAAATTTTTTTTGGAAGTGGGGGGGTCACCTAGATGTTTCCTTAGGAAATTTAAGCATTTAATCAAAAACTTCTCCTTTCTAAAAGAGACAATGTATTAAAAACTAATGTTATTTCACATTCAATCATAATTTTATTATGGTATAACGCAAAATTGAAGCATGAGAAGCAATATGAGTAGAAATAAGCAGAAGCAATAACTTAGACTATATATGAAATGGTGATGTTAAGAACACATTTGTGAAATAATACAACATATAAATGCAAATAAATAATTTGAAGCAGCAGATTTGGATCAAACTCACCTGTTTCATCCACCAGATCATCTGACTCTATGGGAAGGCAATAAATTTATACAAATTCAGTGTCATCAGTTATTTGTGAAAAATAGTACAGATAGAATAGTCTACAAACTTAAGTCATAAAGTAATGATCCAAATGTTATAAAAGCTACAGAAATAAAATGAAAGAAAAACAAGTAAAAAAAAAAATAAATCTACTTTTTGTTCATGCATTGAATATTGCTGCCATACCTGTTAAATGCTTTTTTTTTCTTTTTACTATAATGTTAACTCTGTACAAGACCTAAGAGCCACTTGAGGAGTGGTGGTTTACAAGGTAAGAGTAACAGTTTATGGGGATATGTGATAGAGATAGCAGTTAACACTAGGCTTGAAGAGGTTAAGATTGTAGTAATCGGGAAAGCATCTTCTTGGCAGTTGATTCCACAAAGCAGCAGGTTCCTACTATATATCTCAAGATTCTTGAAAAAACCCAAAGGGTCTGTAATGTAAGCGATCCTGACCTGGCATCTTGACTTATGTCTTCACTATGATGTGACTTCTCTATTTTTATGGCATTTGTTCTGATGAGCTTTACTCCTCAGTACTTCTACTGCATGAATTCAAGCATACTATTAGATTGGCAATTAGGTCTCATTTTTTTTACTGTTGAAATAGCTAAATGTAAGTAAATTCTATTCTAATAGTTTTTCTCGCACTTCAAACCTGTCAAACTCTTTTCTGATCTTTTGCTTCCCTGCCACCTTCAATCTTCAAAAATTTAAATGCTATGCCAATTGCTATCATCTGTCTTCTTGAATACTGTTCTTTTATTGTCCTTTCAATAAAATCTTCTCATTCTTTTTCATTCCCAGTAATCCCTTGTGTCTTAGGGATGAAATGATTTAAAAAAAAAAAAAGAAATGCTTCATCTAAGATATTTGTTGATGACATGCAATAGTTCTAGTATATAGCAATAAACAAGATGGCAACATGCTATGAATTGGTAAAATAAAGAATATACAGTGTACAGCAGAAATACCTTCCACATAATGATAAGACATTAGTGTCAATGATGTCTTCATCTAGCTAAATTCTTAACATTATGTAGAAAGTATTTCTGGGGGGGTGTATTTTGCCACATTCTGTACTTGTGCGTGGCTTATTAGAGTAAGAACTGCTGGTAAAATTTTCATAGCCTAAACCAGAGGTCACCAAACTAGAGCCTGTGGGCCATCTGTAAGTAAAAATGCCAAAATTTGACCAGTCTGATTTTTACA